GAATGGAGTTAGACCACTATCAAAATTAACAATCAGATTCATTATAAAATTTGAAGGTGCCTAAATCCATTCAACATAATTTAAGATGCTTCAAATTGAAAAAAACAATACTCAATTTATTTTACATATCTTTAAAACATTTCGAAAAAATAATTTATGCGAATCAAAACATTTCTTAACTACATAACGTACAAAATTACAAATATAAATTTATTACAAAACAATTTACTACTCATCTAGATTTTGTGTATGTGAAAGGGATATGAAGAAACCATGATGTTCCGGTGGTATATATCGTAATAGGTCAATTATGTCCTTGAATTTTGCTGTTGTAATTTGTCTGATATTTTTATACAGTGGTGTCAATACAATATTTTCGAAGTTTCTTGGTCTACCCCGACGTGGTAATAAATTCAGGACTTTAAAATTTTCATTTTCATTCATTGATGTCTTATAGAAAATTTTATACGGTTTATTTCTGACAAAACGCATCCAACATATTTTTAACCAGTTTATTGATTCCCGATTAGAATTCTTTACTCTTTTAAAAATTGCGTCTTCTAATAATTTTGTTGGTACAAAATCTTCTTGTCTCATTTCATTTACAATAAAATTATTACCTTTCCGACACTTTTTAATAATCTTGTAATAATCTTGGGGAACGAACAGTAAATTATTTTTTTTTAATGACATTTCTACCACGCCAAAATCTCTATCATTTGGTAAAAACGAATGTCCTGATATTAAAAGTTTGTAATCTACGATTTCCACATTATTTTCCAAAGTTCGGACAATTTTTAACCACATTAAACCTACTTTAATGTTTCTATTTTGCCCGGCGCACATGTCACTGTATGCTATAATGTGTCTTTCTATAATGTGTTTCTTTTTTTTTTTTTTAAACGAATATTGTTCTATAATTCTGTTTCTTTTTCGATTTTTTTTTTAAATCATTAGTTACTATTTCTTCTTCACTATCTAAAGTAGATGGTCTTGTTCTATTTTTCCCCATGGGTGAAATAATTTCTAAAATTTAATATTAAATTTTAAGTTTTATATTAATTAAACGTACTGGTTATTCAATTAACGTAATTGTCCAAAAACTGAGGTTAACTTGTTAAATATTAATTAATTAAAATTCCCTTCATCACTGCTTTCAGATATTATCAATAGTAAATATCTTGATTTAAGTATAAATGGAGTTAGGCTACTTTCATACTACACGGTTCAATTATTGAACTAACTCTGAAAACTTATGTGTCAAGAATTATCGTATTTGCTCGGAATATAAGCAATTTGAAATGCTTTACTGATAAATAACATAAAGTTGTACATGTAATTATGGCAACTGGAAAAGATTGACAAATGGAGTTAGGTCACTTTCAAAATAAACGGCTCATATATTGTATGAATCTACATCTAATTTTAGTTAAAAATAATTGTTTATTAACGGAAAGATGCATGACCAGTTTGTAACAATTTTAGTTATTTTCAATAAATTTATTTCATACTTCAGAAATCAAAGAATATTTGTCAGTTTATAGACGTTGACTTCGAATACTTTTTTCATCGAATAAATTTAAAAATTTTTATAAAACAATTCTTGGTTATAGTGTTTGAAAAAAATGTAGTCTCACGTTTCTTATTCCACAAATATGAAATGTTCCAATTTTTTTCTTCATATGTTCTACATACGTACAAAATAACAAATGTATCTAATTTTACTGGAGTTAGATTCCATATAAAGCTTAATCGATTTGTTTCTAATTCTGTGCATTTTCGCATAAGTTCAATAATAATTATCAAGACAAATGTAGTTCTTACTTGATCCTTTATAATGTTTTCTTTCGTGTATACCATTGGATTTGGTAATGGCCATCTAAATCTTGAACCCTTTTGTATTTCTTCCCAAACAGTTCTTCAATAGTAACTTCAATTTTCTGGTCATTTTCTTCATATTCGTTTTCAGAACTTGACAGAAATTGTCTTTTTTTTATCTTCTGTTCGTTCAAAATGTTCCTTTCTTCATCCTCATTATTTAAGAATTTATTATTAGTTTGGAATAAATTATATCCAATTTGAATTTGGTCATTTTAATTTTATAAAATTTCCCTTTATCGTCTTTTAAACATCCTTCGCTTATATTGTTTATCTTTTTCACTAGTACCTTCTTTACTGAACGTCTTGTTATGTTTAGGGATAAATATTAAAAATATTAGTAAATGTTAGAACAATACAGTAAAATAAAATGTAAATTAACTATTAAGTTTTGTTCACTTTCTATTTTTTTATTATTTTCGACGCTCTGTTTCAAAGTTTCAAAATTAGACTGTTTTTTGATATGGCAATGTGTACGATAATAACATTCGAGGATAATTTGAATGATCTTGTTCTGATCAAGTCTCAAATACCTAGTTTATTGTCGGTTTTTCAGACGATCATTTGACCGGATGCTGTAGACAAGATAAGTTACATATTTTTCTTAGAATAAATAAAACAAAAGCATAAATATTAACAAAATTATTAAACGGATATTATAGGAATTATCGTAAATTAAATAGAGAAGAAGAATAACAGTGAATGGAGGATTTGTATTCAAAATTCAAAACCGGTCATTTGACAAACTGTAGTACGGTTAGTGTTAAAAACATTTAGACGATCATTATCTGCTATACTAACTTTTACTATTTTATTATTTGAGATTATGTCATCACATTTTTCCTTAATCTTATCTCTTCTTTTAAAGACATTACATCAAGCTATTTTTTTCTATTTAAACAAGAATAGTAGGGAATAACAATACGATTTGTATTTTGCGTTGGAAAATAATATCTGTGAAAATTAAAATATATATATATATGGCTGAGACCTATATATATATTAATTCCATTCCATAGTATTAGGATATTTCAATTCTAAAGTCTTAGTTCCATATCAGTTCCGTCTCCGTTCTATTACTTCAGTCAGAGTCCAGTTTCAATATAAAAAAATAAAGATGGGCGGAACCATAGAAAATTTTCTTTAAAATATATAAATATATAAATTTATTCATTCTGTTTTCTCCACATGTTGACGGAAAATAACTTTTAAAATCATTACCAACTTTACGTACATAAATATTATTTTTCATTTTATAAAAGTGACATTTCTGGTATTGAGTTGACAACTAAGTGATTGCGGATTTTATCGATAGATTGACTTTACATTTTCTTTTGTTTTGTTAACGTGGTCATTGCATCTAATCTATATTTTTTCTTATTATTTGGACTTCTACCTTTAATTTAGTAAAAAAAATTATATCGATTAGTGCTTTAGTTTTATTTTTATTTCAATTTAAAAATGGAAAAACAAGACGTGCACTTCAGACATATTTTATTGTATTACTTCCGAAAAGGCAAGAACTCATCGCAAGCACAAAAGAAGTTATGTGCCGTATATGGAAATGAAGCCTTGAAAGAAAGGCAGTGCCAAAATTGGTTTGCCAAATTTCGTTCTGGTGATTTTTCACTGAAAAATGCTCAACGATCTGGCTGTCCAGTTGAAGTCGATGAGATCCATATCAAGGCCATTATCGATTCAGATCGTCATAGTACAACACGTGATATTGCGGAGAAGCTCAATGTATCGCATACATGCATTGAAAAAAAATTAAAAATGCTTGGTTATGTCAAGAAACTCGATTTATGGATCCCTCACCAGCTTAAGGAAATTCATTTGACGCAACGCATTAGCATCTGAGATTCGCTTCTGAAACGCAACGAAACTGATCCATTTCTGAAAAGCCTAATTACTGGCGACGAAAAGTGGATAGTTTATAACAACGTTAATAGGAAGAGATCGTGGGTGATGAAAGATGAACCAGTCCAAACGACATCAAAAGCAGAGATTCACCAAAAAAAGATTATGCTGTCAGTCTGGTGGGATTATAAAGGAATTTTGTACTTTGAACTTATGCCACAAAACCAAACGATCAATTCAAACGTGTACATTCAACAACTCGTCAAACTGAGCGATGCAATTCAAGAAAAGCGGCCGGTATTGTCAAATAACGTAACGGTGTCGTTTTCCACCATGATAATGCAAAGCCCCACACGTCTTTGATCACTCGCCTAAAATTATTGCAACTGGATTGGAATGTTTTATCATATCCACCATATAGCCCTGATCTTACGCCTTCAGACCACCATTTATTTCGTTCCATGCAGAACTCCTTAAATGGTAAAATTTTTAATAACGCTAATGACGTCAGATTACATTTAATTCAGTTTTTTGATAGCAAAGATCAGAAATTTTGCAAACGTGGAACGTTGACACTGCCAGAACGATGGCAAAAGGTCATCGACAAGAACGGACAGTATCTAATTGAATAAAGTTATATTTTTAAACAAAAATTAAGAATTTTCCTTCTTATTTGAGATCCGCAATCACTTAGTTGCAAACCCAATATAAGGATATTAAAATATCTAAAATTTGCAGTGAGCGTAGAAAATATATTCGTGGAAAGAGCAGAGTAGAAAAATCTATAATTTATAAAAAATGTGCTAACCAAATTGAATCATCTGCCATTTAGTTCTAAGTAAAAGAAAATACATTACTATTGTTTTCTGTTTTTCTTGAAAATTAAAATGAAAAATAAATAATTTGTTTTATCATTATCTAAAAGTAGTTTTGTTTAACATTTTCTATTTTAAATTCACTATTATATGCATACAGTTTGACAAAATATAACTTTTATTTCTGATCCAGTCAATTGACCGGTTTGAAGTTATGGTACGAATAGATATATAAAAATCTCGATACAATTAATACAATAATGATATATCTAAATATAGTGGCATAATTAGAAAACGTGCATAACAATTATACATTAGTGTAGATATACCGTTCGATAATTAGACTCCGGATATTTATTTAAGTGTATATTTAAAAAAAAAAAAAACAGATAAAGCAATAGGATCCAAATATAAATACTTTTCATGATTAGGAGGTATTAAAAATCCATTTTTTATTTTAAATTTTTTGCATAAATCATAGATTCTACAAATTTATGTTCAAAAACATATGCAGTATATTAATCCATATATTATTTGTCTTATTTATGCATATTTCATGTTCACGGTGCTCATTCTTTGTTAAAATATTTTATATGTGTCATCTGTCTATAAATTCATTCTACATAGCAATCACAATAAAAACTTTCGAGAGTGATAATACGTAATTTGTACTAAATAAACAATGAAACATGTTTTCACGACTTCGAATCACTCACTGATCATTAGATATTTAATTTAAAATTCAGTTGACGTTTTAAATTCGAATAGTGAAATTAGATTAGTTTAATGCTATCGAATACTGTGTAAATTTAGTAAAGCGTTTTTGAATATTTAAGAAAAGTCAAAAGCTCGAGATAGTAGAATATATGAAAAGTTATATGAGAATAGAATTAATGAAAAGTTATCGCTGAAAATAATAATAAAAAAGTATTTATCTGTGTAGAAATCTGTGGTAAAAGTGTGAAATACGAAAGAAAACCACAGTTAGTACAACATATGAATACATTTAAACATAAAAGAAATGTTGAAGAACGAGGTGATCCATATAACAGAGAAAGTGTGCATCAACCATTAAATTAAAGAAAGAATGAATTTTACGAAGATTTAACGCAAGCAATGGTTGCTGTTAATATATCGTGAAGTTCTTTAATCATACTCGGAGAAATTTTCTTACAAAATATATAGATTATTCGGTTCCGGACGAATCTACATTACGTAAAAATTACTTAAATGATTGCTATAATTCAAGCATTCAGATCATTAGAGAAGATATAGAAGAATATTACATATGAATTTCTGTAGACAAAATGCAGCAGGGCAATATAAATGTAATAATAGGATAGCTTTGTGAGAATGAAACGACAAAACTGTATTTATTCTGTTCTAAAATAAAATAATGGAAGAAATAAGTTATGAAAATATATCTCACTTTGTAAATTTAACTTAAGAATTTTGTTATCACATGGTAATGAAGAAAAAGTTCTATTTATAACTAATGCAGCACACTATACCCAAAACAGTTTGAAATTATTTTATGCTAACATAATACATGTTACATGTGTAGTGCATAGTTTACACAATATAGATGAGGAAGTGTGACTTTGTTTTCCACTTATTGATACATTAATATTCTGGAAAGTTAATAATTCTTGTAATAAGACACACAGTCTTAGTATTTGTAATATAATTAATACAGTTTAAATTCGAATTCAATTTATAATAATAGGATCATAAAGTCAGTCTACATGCGACATCAAATTGTTTTACAATCGAATCCAAATTTCGAATCGAAGGTAAAGAGACAAGCGAATATTGTGCGCGCTACAAGCGAATAAAAATAATTTTATTAAAATAGCATCGTGCGCAAATAATAACTTCATACGAATATCTCTAAAAATCTGTTGATCGACCAAATGAAGTGAACATCGTATTTTTTCTTTTATTAATTATTGGGTTGTTCGGAAAATTCGTGTCGACTTTCGGGAGGCACGAATTTTCTGTACGACCCAATATATTAACCATTTGCACTCGCAATTTTAGTGAAAAGATCATATTTACATGTAAATTAATGATATATTAAAAGAAAAGTCATCGTTGCATGTTATTATATTTTTAATTGTTTATGAATACAAAGGTAATGATATATAAAAAAACAATAACGCGACCGTCATTTGTTACCAAAAGCGAAATATCCTATAAATAGTTTTTACGATTTGTTTTTGTCCTTAGGTTAAAAACTGAAAATTATTTGCATTGTCTCCGTAGCGGAGCCCTCGAGTTTGAAGACAAATTTTAAATGGCTCCGCTCCGGATCCCTTGAGTGCAAAGAGTTAAATAATTATTAATGTTAAACAATTGTGATAATTTGACAGGCATCATTTCAGTCTTTTGATCTGCTTCCTCTTCGCTTTAATATCAATCTATTTATAGATTCCTGGCGAAAGTCAAGGCTTCAAGGGAGAAACACAAGTGGAGAGCTGTTGCTTTCCATTCAAGAGTTAATTTGGAGGTGAACTACATTCTTAATCAGTGACGTCATCAATAAAAGGATAAGCATTTCGAGAAATATCGAAACTTCGAACAGGAGTTCTAAGATAGTTTCGTCCTTCGAAGTATCATTCTTACAGAGAGAATAAAAACAGTCTCAATCCCGAGCGGAATTTTACGCCAACCGAAAACGAGGCAAGTTACTAGATTGTAATAGACGGGCCGGAAGAAACAAGATTTTTAACTTTATTTTTTTTTTATTCAAGACATGATCCGAGACGTAATATATTAAAATTTAAAAACTATTGGTAAAAATCTGTGAAGAAAGTATTTTTGAAAGCATCACTTCATATTGAAGTGTAAAAAAAACATTACAAAATATTCTTTTGCCATTAGAATCTATTTTAATTAGATGGAATACGTAAATTGAAACTGCACTATTTTATATCGAACATTTTGATAAAATAAGAAATATAAGTAATATGCAATCATTTGGTAAGAAAAAGTTTTTTGTATATGCATACGTATTTATTCTATTTTTTATGTTAATAGTAGTTGAACATTTTAATATAATAAATGTTACAGTAATTAAGATTGCAAAAGATATAGTCTAATAAAAAAAACTTGCACAAGATTTAATCTTTATGAAAACTTATTTTAGCTTTTTACCGACCACAACGGAAAAGTTAGAAATCACAAATTTACCGTCTACCACTTCAACAGAAGTATATTTAAATTGTACTAATCGTCTGTGCAATATACTTAGTAATTGTGGAGAAAAAATCAAAAAGAAAGCAAGGGGAATCAAATGCATCTAACACAGTGCCATGATTGAAAAACACTAAGGCCATCAAATATATCTATCCGAAGAAGAGTAAATCATGAAATGTAAAAGAAGGAAAGACTAGCATACCTGATGCGAAAATTTTACAATGTTACCAAAAAAATTTTGCAAGTTTTGGAACAAAGACAGCTAAAACTCAGACATAAAAGGTTACCATATACTGCTCAGATTATATTGATCAGCTACATTTATGATTGATATGCTTTAGTACAATACACCGAAAGATTGATGATTTGATGAAAATTAATTTTTCATTTTTGATCTTCTAATAAAAATTTTCAATTGTTGAATAGTGTACATTTTATTGCTGAATATATTCTAATTAGCGATGATGTTCAAAATTCATTTACTGTCAATATTCATTCAATTTTTACATTTATAAACATTTTCTACTGTACTGCGATCACTGATAATTAACTGTGATAATACAGGAGAAACAATCTGCGGTCACATATGAACACCATGACGAACAACGTGTAAACTACTTTAGGCTGGTTTGATAAAAACTATAGCAAGTTAAACGTTTTTTATATGACATTTAATAATATGTTTCAAGAAGTTATTATAATGAAAATGAATTTTTATGCTAAAAATATAATATAAACGATGAAAATAAAATAAACAAAATCGTAACGCGACTTAACATTTTGCCGGCCGCGCATTTATCGAAGCGCCGTTACGCTGTTGCCGGCGAGATTCGCGCAGAACCCACTGTTCGCCAACGGTGATATTTACTCAATTTTTCGCAACATAAGTACTTGGAATATAATTATTATTGAAGAAGGCACTAAAATAACTGTTACACTATTTTTATTCCATAGTTTTATATTTTTTAATTAATACTAAAACATTTTATTTAAAAAATTTAATTCCTAAGATTCATAGTTCATTTTAGTATGATAATTTTCAAAACATTTTC